ATAACATCCATGATCCATACAACACAAACTCCAGGGGCTGCAGTCAACAAATACACAAACTACAGTCTAATTCCATATGAGACAACATTCATAAGAGCCAATATACCATAACAGGTTTTGTCCAGCCAAATAAACGCACAAACTACAGCCAAATAACCATGTAAAACACTGCTACATAGCTTAAAAATTGTCCAACTTCAAACACCTGACAAGAAAAAGTACAACCCCTTCAGAAATCACAAGAAAAAGTACAGCTTCACAAGTCCAGCTTTACAAATCACAAGAAACAGCATCACATATTCCAGAAAACAGCCTTCAAATGTCCGGAAGATCAATTTCTTCAATTGTAGATGATTCGGAAACATCGAGTGGTTCCTACAAAACGAAAACAAGAAAGTTACAACTCCTAGCAAGATAAAATGAGCTGCCAAAATAAATAACTAATAGAGTATATATTATACTTACACGAGACTTGTTTTTTAACCCATGAAGATTGCGGATCCAATCATTCCCACAAAGTAGCATTTGAACCGTTTCAACGGACATAGAAGCACGCCTATCATCGATTATTCTACCACCAGCACTGAAAGTAGATTCGGACGCCACGGTTGTAACTGGAATAGCGAGTATATCACTTGCCAATCTTGACAATATAGGAAACCTCCACCTTTCCCCTTTCCACCAACCCAAGACATCAAGATTTGCATTTGCATCACAAACATATCTGCCCTCTTCCAAATAGACATCTAAATCTGATTTTTCAGGGGGAGCCTTGTCAATTTCACTAACAATCATCTGAAATTTTTCTTTCCCAGTTAGAACATTAACTCCAACCTTTTTAGCAGCCCTTTGAGTAGATTTACTTGAAATTTCCGAATGTTTTCTTTTTCCAGCTTCCCTTGGTGGTTCCTCACTATGAGATGAGATGTGAGCATCCACATATTCATTATAAAGGTCATAAAGAATGCATCTAATCTCATCAATGTTCCTAAGGGCTGCAACTTCTCCATAAATAACTGGGAAAGTATGATTAACAAGGACCATTTTGTACCTCGGATCAAGAATAGCACCCAAAGACATCAAAACATTGTTTTCACCCCAATACTTGTCAAATTTTTGTGTCATACTTTCAGCCATAAACCTAATATGATCAGAGAAATCGAGAGCTTTTTCATTTAATAGCTCTTTAATCCTATACAACTCTACAAGAAAAAGGTTAGCTGTTGGGTAATCGGATCCAGAAATAATATTGGTGATCTCATAAAAAATACCCAAAAATTTACATACTTCTTCAACTTTCATCCATTCAAACTCACTTGGGACATAGTGAAACCCAGGATCAATGTCCCCATACCTGGGAAATACATCCCTAAACTCTAGAGCTGAAGCCAACATCAAATAAGTGCTGTTCCACCTAGTTGGGCAGTCCAAAATGAGCTTTCTAGAAGGCAATTGAAGCTGTTTTTTTATTTTGGCAAATTCATTGAGGCGAGACTCTGAATTTTTCAAATATTTAATCCCCTCTCGAACAACATCAATCACATCAACAATTTGATTAAGCCCATCTTGAACAAGCAAATTAAGTATATGGGCACAACACCTAACATGAAAAATTTTTCCTCCAATGCTCAACCTTTTTCTTAGAGAGAAATCCTCTCTAACTCTCCTAATGCATACATCATTATAAGAAGCATTGTCCACAGTGATAGTAGAAACCTTATTTTCAATCCCCCACTCAAGAAAACACTTACTTAACGCATCAGCAATAATTACACCCGTGTGAGGAGGTGGGACATTACAAAAATTTAGAACCCGTTTTTGCAACACCCAATCACTATCAACAAAATGCCCAGTCACAACCATGTATTGAATTTTTTGACCAGATTTCCACAAATCTGTGGTTATACTAACCCTATTGGCACCTTTTAAGATATTTCTCAGCCTTCTCTTTTCAAGCATGAAAGCAGTCACACAATCTTCCTTTACTGTTTGCCGGTTAATCTTTTTATAAAATGGAGATGCAGCTTTCATGAACTTGTTAAAAACAACATGATCCAACATAGAGAAGGGATACTCATGTACAAGAACCATATGAGCTGCTAACTCTCGTACTTTAGCATGATCATAAGAGAAATTAGTTATAGAAGTTATACCATCCGAGGGGCCTTCGGTAAAGGATAACACTTGCTGCCTCTTTTGATTTTCCTCTCCAACAGCCAGCCTCTTTTGTAGGCAATTTTTGAGATGACGCTTGTGTTGAGAAGTAGCTCCAGATGGATTTTTGACAAATAGTTCTTTGCAGTGATTGCACTGCACTTTCAATGTTCCATCAGGTTGTTTTACTATAGTCATATCCTCCCATATTGTTGACTTCTTTTTCCGTTGTTTTTTTTCAAACGGATTTGCTCCTTCAACAGCACCTTTTTCCCCTGTTTCTGTTCCTTCATTCATCTGATCTAAGTGATCTAAGTCCAGCTCTTCTTCGCTCATCTCATCAGCATTAGACTCCACCTCAAGTTCTTGTTCGACATCTTCATTTCCAACCTCCATAATAGGACTTGTTGACGATCCTTGGTGACTGTACATACCTATTATTTAAAAGGAAAAATATACTTGAGTCAAGTCCATAAGGAACATATGCAGGAATATATGCAGTCAAGTCCATATGATATTTAATAACTATTTTCAGCTTGCTTTTCGCCATTTCTACAAATGCATGAATCCAAATTAGCAATAAAACCTGAAGTACCATTTATGCAACAAATAACAAACAATTTTAGAATCCAATATTAGTGGCCAATTAGACCTGAATTCAGAATAAATCTCTACAAATAAGATTAGTTAACTCTCCATTTCTCCTGAAAAAAGAGGAAAACAAGAAAGGTAGACAGAGAAGTATTTTCATCTATAGAGAAATTATCTAGAGAAGTAAATGGTGCCAGCCTGTGCTGCAGGTGCAATGCCATGAACAAAAAATTCCATCCTCATTCTCACGTGGTCGTGCACCCATGGCAAGGTTTAGCTTCTGCCTTGTGGATCCCTCGATGGGAAGCAAAAGAAAAGGAAAACAGCAAAACAAAAAAGAAAAAAAAAAAGAAAATCAAACATCCCTCTATGCAGCCAGTGCCTATATTATTCATTCAATAATTCATTTAACTCAATTCACACACACATAAATGGCCCCAAGACGAAAATATCAAACTAATCAAACACTTTGAAATTGAAATGAAATGAAATGAAAGGCCAATCAATCCCTGTGATAGTGCAACAGTTAGCTCACGAACATTGACATGTTTCATTCAAAAGATCAAAAATTTACCCAAAAAAAAAGAAGTATGCTGTCCAAATTAAGTCCGTAAGGCTTTGTGAGTCAAAAATAAACCACCCTTTAGAGAGGCTTTGCAGAGTTGAGGTTAAATTCTAAGATGAAAACTCTTAATTGGAAACCAAATTTGGCAGCTTTAGCTTTGAAGCACTAACATAACAGTCCCATATAACATGATGCTACCCAACTTGGCATTTGAATGACAAAATTTTTGAATTCTTCATAATTAATACAGTCAAAAACATTAAAAAGAGAAAATTGAAGTGTAATATAACGTCTGTGCGTATCAAACTTAAATTGGATTTTCAAGACAACGGTCTTCTTTCTGAAATTGCATAAGCTATCCGTTTTGGAATGTAAAAACATTACAAAATTAAAAAATTAACTAGTACAGAACAGAAATTACGGGTTTAATTAACCTACGAAAAATCAGAAATTACGGGTTTAGTTAACTAGTACAGAACAATGAAACCTAAAACCAGAAAAGAGACAAGAATGAACTCTTGTCATTCAGTATAATTAACCTACGAAAAGAGACGAGACTTACCAGAAATCACGAAGGATTAGAGAAACCAGTCAAATTGGACTGGTTTTGGCCCTGGCCGTGGCCGAGGTTGTTAATGGCAGAAAACAGAGGCTGTGGGCGGCAGTGGAGGCAGAGGTTGCTGTGGGTTGCGGCTGTGGAGTGCGGCTTGCTGTGGAGTGCGGGGTTACGGTGTTGCGGGGTTGCGGGCTGCGGGGTTGCGGTGTTGCGGGGCTGCGGGGGTTGCGGGGCTGCGGGGTTGCGGAGCTGCGGCGTTGCGGGGCTGTGGGTGCGGCTGTGGGTTACTGGTTGCGGGTTGCGGTGTTGCGGGGCTGCGGGGTTGCAGGGTTGCGGAGCTGCGAAGCTGCGGCGTTGCGGGGCTGTGGGTGCGGCTGTGGGTTACTGGTTGCGGGGCTGCGGGGTTGGAGGGTTGCGGAGCTGCGGCGTTGCGGGGCTGTGGGTGCGGCTGTGGGTTACTGGTTGCGGGGTGCAGCGGAGAGGGAGAGGCAGAAATGAAGAATGAGACGATGCAATATCAACCCTAGTCCAAATTTCTACTTGTTGGCTGCTAAAATGACAAAAATAACCTTCTTTGTCGAGCTCAACCGAGCTACTCGATAAAGAATCGAGTTCGAGCTTACTCGGCTCGATAACTAAACGAGTATTTGTCGAGCTCGAGCTCGGCTCGTTAATTGAAATTAACGAGCCGAGCTCGAGCCTTATCGAGCCGAGCCTTAACGAGCTTTCGAGCTGCTCGTTTCGCTTAACAGCTCTAATTGTGATATTTCCATCACCACATACCTCGACTAATTTTTTCACCATAAGGTGTCAGTTTAGATTCTTTATCCACTTCTTCACCTTGAAATCCATAAACAGTCTCCAATGACTTACCCAAAATCCATCAATAGTTGTGCAAAGAATAAACTGCTAAATAAATTTGAAAAAAAAAAGAAAGCAAAGAGAGAACAAAAACACTGAAACAATAACTCCTGCACATACCTTGAAGGCTGAAATAAGAAAAGTAGCCTCCTTATTTCGTTCTTCCTTTATCTAACAAAACTTTAGTGTAAACAAGCGTCGGCCAGATGAAGAATATAATTAAAACAACCTCATGGTAATAACATGAAAATGATTCAGAGAAAATTATTGAACTTATTCTCCATATTCTTCAACATTATTAACAGTTGCAAATGAAATATACAACCTACCATTCTTTCCTTGCTTTTTTTTTACATTAAAATAAAGGTCTATAGTTACATGAAGCCAGATGATATGTAGATTAATATCACAAGTTTTCCTCTCCTTTCTGAGTAAGACCCTTTTGATTTCATAGCCCTTTCAAGAATTCAATGTTTTCATTTAATGGTTCACAAACCTTACATGGTTTGAAATTTAACTACTTCAACCATTAACAGCCTAGAATTTAACCCCAAGCATTGAATAAATTGCGTAGATAGCATGCTTAGCAAAGCAAACATGACATTCTAGTCGTTAATCAAACAATTTTGATCCAAATCCAAGGAAAAAGGCCTCAAGATGGAATTCCACTCACTTGAGCTATAAAAAGTTGTCCAAAAAGTGCATTAGCTGGCTGCAAAAAGAAAAAAAAATGACAAAATCATTACCAACTAACTAAGAAAGTTTAACAAAAACAGTCAACCCACACCCTCTTACTTTGAATTTTTTACTTATAAAGAGTTATTGGCAATATCAACTGGAAAACAAAAATTTCTATGAACATGAAAAAAGAGGAAAGAAATTAAACCATTTCATCTAAGGAAATAATCACAAGTTTCAATGCAAAAAAGTGAAAGCATAAAATATTGGATCTTAAGTAAGGATAATTACTGAATGGAGTTGCTTAAAAAGACCTGACAATCTCATAATCATGACTTACACTGGAATTTTAGGAAATACTTCAATAAGAGGCAGATTGTCCTCTCCATAGTCCATTTCTTGAACATCTATGAAAGAGAAGTAAAGACAGGAGAAGATTATAGTTGACTCCAGGTAAAAAGAAAGAAAAAATAGAAAAACAGAGATCCTAAAAGTATTTACTTGAGCAAAGAATTTCCAATCATTCTTACTTGGTATCAAATCCCTATTCCTCAACCCATAGCAAACATATAAAACTTATTAGAGAATAAAATAAAATTTAATCAAGAGAAAAAAAGTATACATAGAACAAGACTGGAGAAGCTAGCAGTTTTCAGAGAGAAAGAAAGAAAGATAAGAACAGAAGAGACTTTTCAAATAGAAGCTTTGAGTCGGAGGGGATTGAGATATGGAAAATTATCTGATGGGAATTGATTAGTCTTGTCAGTATTGAGCCAAACCCCTCTATTGCAGATACAGGAATTTGAGGGAAGGCTTCTGGTTTTGTAACTCCCAGTACTTTAACTCGCCAGCAAAGAGGAAAACAATAACTTTTTGCACAGAAAGGAGATGGGAAAGATTTTTTTTTGACACAAAAGATAGGAGAGAGATGGCTCTGAGGTCTTTCTGTCAATTTTTCTCATAAAAAATCTGAGGTAAGATGACTCCAGAACACCTCTCCAAAAATAGTTGGATGTGTCAAAGAAGTGACTGTATTCTCAAATTCTAGAAAGAATTGTATGCCATTTATCTCAAAGTAGAGGCATCTTGTCCTCATATTTGAACATCTAAATGTGTTATATTTAGTACAAATTATCCATCCAGTTAAATAAATTAGGAGTTCTACCAAATTTTCTTCAAAAGTAACATGCCCTTCCTTTAAGTTCTTTCCTGCATAAAAAACTTCAACATAAATTGAAGGTCTCCATCACATTCACCTTTTTGAACCTATCAATTGGAATACCATCTTCATGTTTCTCACAAAATTTTCTGTTTAGGCTTACCTCAATTAAGTTCATTTTTACAAGTAAAAAAACTATCATAAGGTTCAGTTTTCCAGACTTAATCTAACTGAAATGTTACAAATCTAAGAGAACATCATGTTTTGTAAATATAGACTTAAGTCAACCAAAATTGATTTTCCTAATATGAATTTCCAAGCTATTAAACATCGTAGTCTATGATTCAAGAGGCAAAACTACAATTATGTAGCAATTTAATTCTTTTTTTGATCAAGGAATTGAAAATTTAAGGTGTTTATTAAAACAGTAACTTACTCATTATTTCAAGCAGGTGCTTAGAATGTAATATTTGAGAATCCTCATCTTGGACAAACCTTTAACCACCTACAAATAAGAAAACCATTTAGATTGCCATTGTAACAAAAAATTATATTGCTGAAGATACTCAGTTTAATATCCACTTAAGGTTCATAAAACGAATATTCAAGAGGTTTTACCAAGAAACAATTTATGTACTAAAACAAAATATTTCAACACAAAGCAATCAAAAGAATAGCATCACCCGATCTTTTGTAACTCATGGCCAATGACCAATGTGACCTGGAAGTTCCTGATTCTCAGAGAAGAAATTTATTAATTCTTCAAATGTTGAAAACCCTATGAAGAAAAAGGAATCGGAAGAACTGGAGCAAATAGAAAGATATTTTGAAGATGAAGAAATCTATTTTAAACAAGTGAATCTTTTTGCTTACCATATGGATTGCTTTTCTGATCAGGAGATCAACAAAACACCTGCATGAAAGACACCAAAGAAAAAGACTAAAAAGAAAACTCGAATGAGGTTTGAAAAGAGCAAAGGCCAAAGAAAAGTTATACCATCATTTGAGCTCTGAAAAAAGCAATTTAAAGTAAAATTAAATTAGAATGATAAAACAAAGCTTACGATTTTCCCCTCAGCAGTTGTCTTTTACGGGTGGCCATTTTCCTCCCTGTTGCAGAAGAAATCCAAGAAAGGCAAAAGCGGAAAGAAAAATGGAACAATAAAACACCAAGTAGGTAAAAAAAATAAAGTAAATAAATACTCTACAAGCCAGCTAATCATCAATTATTCACCATCTCCGACCATATTAAAAGTTTTTTGTTCAAACTAAAAATAAAAATTTAATGATAAAACTGAAATGAAACAAAGACATTAATCATGGAAAGAAAGGGGAAGAAAAATACCATATCTGTATTCTACAAATTCATATAGACAGTGGAGATGAAATATTAACCTTTCACTTCCTCGTTGTTTCAGAAAAGGACCAAAAAAAAAGAAGGGGGAAGAATTGATTGTTTTTAGCCAAGGAAATATCAGGCAAAATGGCAGAAAAATAGAAAAAATCAGCTATAATTACTTGAGGTATGGAGAGAGGGAGATGAAGGAGAACAGGAGGGAGAAATCGACAAAGGGAGGAGAGAAAGATTACCAGTCCCTTTGCAGTCTTGAGCCCACCGTCCATCAACTCAATCAGAAGGAAAAAAATCTGGACCCCCCCCCCAAATTGAGAACTTTAAGACAAAGAGCCTCTTTAAGAAGAAGAGAGAGGCTGAAAGATGAAGAAAACCATCTTACTCATTGTTGTTCTTAGACAGAGACTGAAAGATGAAGAAGGAGAGAGAGACTTGTTCAAAGAGGTTTAGAGAGTGACGGTCGATGAACAAAGAGGGAATGAGGAGACTTTTGACGCATCGAGCCCAACCCCCTGTCAAATCCCACCAAAAAAAGCTGTTACAGAGAGAGAAGGTCTACCCATTTGACTACCACCAATAAAAAGCCGGGAAAAGAAAAAAAAATCAAAGGCACATGTGACCAGATTTTAGCGGAACACTTCCCCCGGCAAACAACAAACAATGAAACAAAAGGATTGCTAAATGTCTGAGCAAGCAAACAAAAGAATTCAAGCGTGGAACGGACGACCATCAATTGGAAATTTGCACGGGCGGATGACCACCAATCAACCAATAGCAACGCGCCACGTTTGCAATCACAACCCAATTGAAAACAATGGCATTCCCCAATAGACTAGATATGTTAATAAAGATTGAGTTGCAAAATGAATTAACATATTCAATATTTGAATTGAGCTCGATTTGCTAACATGTTTTTCGAATTTGGTTCGTCAATGATAAATCAAGCGAAACATGCATGAGAAATATATAATGCTTGTTAATGTACCAAATTTGGCAAAAATCTTAGGTAAATAAAATGGCATCAAACTTTAGTTTTATATGAAAAAATTTCAAGCTACAAGAGTCCCGATATAACAAAAATTTGTTTAAATCCGACTCGACAAATAAATAACTCAAGATTAAAGATAATTTCAAACTCGTCAAAGAAGATTGAAGTGTAAATACTAAATATTTGGCTTAATTAGGATCGTTTTCACCAATTTAAGGAGTAATAAAGTAGAGTGTAAAGTTCAAATGGTCGAAGTAAAATTACATAATCAGCGGCATTGTAGGATAAAATTGAAATGGTAAAAAAAAAAACGTCAGACTAAGAGAGCATCAGGGCAATTTTCAACAAATAAATATTGATGAGTGCAAAATAAAACAAGGATAAACAAACAGACACTACAAGAAAAATGTCCTATTATGACATACCTATAAGGACACTTTTTTGTAAGTGTCATTTTACATCTTTTATGAAGACATAAAAAAGTGAGTGTCATAATAAAATAACATGAACCAAATACCATTGCACTTTGTTTTATATTTTTTCTAAATTGAAAAAATTGATATGTCAAATTAGAATAGCTATTAGGGCATTACTTGTGAATGTCAGCAGAAGTAATAGGAAATTGAGATAGAAACGACGTAGTTTTGTCACTGGTATAAAAGAAATGGTGAGAAAGCGTGGGGAAAAGAAAAAAAAGAACACGGCAAGGAAAATTTTGCCGCTTCACTAAAAGTTTGCCCAATACATTTCTCTTTGAAAGGTCCGCCTCTTACAATTCACACCAAAAAGGTCCACCAGTTTCTTCTCCAACTCTAAACCCATGGACACTATTCACAAAATCCATCATCGTCAAAATCAATCTTCCTTTTCTGCCTCTTTTTCATTCTTTAATCCCTACCCTCTCTCTTTCTATCTTGAGTTTTTAGATGCACTCCAATTTTACCAGAAGAAGAGAAGGATGGTATAGCGGTTAAAAGGTAAGTGTATTATGGGTTTTTGAAAATCATATGCTTTGCCTGCCCTATGTGAATAATTGCAATTTGTTTGTCAGTATTGTCTTGCAAAATTGAAGGTTTGAGGTATGGGTAATAGTTATTCATGTGATGGAGGATTGCAATCCTTCAATTTGAAATATATATATATAATAATAATAATAATAATAATATAGAGCACTGAAACAATAATGAAAGCGTAAGAGGGTCTTTGTTAAATTCAGCTCCTGAAAAATGTAAAACCAATTTCTTGTTTGGAGTTTTGAACTCTATCCCCATCAAGGTAATTATTCCCAGCCTTGACAGGCATTGCCGCACACATTTAACCAACCCTTTTGGGTTCAAGGGAGCTTTGATTTATAGAAATCTAGAAAGGCTGTTACCAAATACGGTCTGTTAATGGAGAAGCATATTTATGTTTGGCAAAAGGAGACAGCTAGCCACCTTAAGAGTTCCATGCTCTTCGTTTTTTTTTATATATATATATAATGCAACAATATCTCAAATAACCCTTTGCTTTCTTAATAAAATCATGATTCCATGGAAAAACGGATAATTAGTATGTTCACCTAATAATGATAATAATAATAATAATAAAGTGTATAAAAATAGTGGCAGAGGTTCTTTTTTTAAATTCAAGTACAAAAGCGGAAGGGAAAAGGGGAAAAATGGATGTCTGAGAATTGAATCAGGACATTATGATTATGTAGTTAATGCTTTTCTCAACCGAGTTGGATCTTGGGAATTGGTTTCTAATCCTACATTAGTGCAACTGGGCTGGTACAAAATATAGGATATAGAACCTCGGGTGCTTTACTTCTACTGACTAGTAACTACTGAGAATGTCGAAGATGGTGTACTGTTCATGTCATTTGGTTTCGAAAAAACATGTAAAATTTGGCAAAGTCAGAGCCAGTGAATTGGGAAGAAAGTTAACTGTTAACAATTGTTTGAGTTCTAGTTGAGTTTCCAAACTTGATTCATATTATGGTAATATGGCAATTAAGTTTACCAGAAAAATAATTGGCACCAATACAAAGCTTTCTAAATTTTAACTTGTAAAGCGAATTGAACCCTCAAACATGAACATACAATCTTTTTATTTCTTGAGTTTAGATAAAATTCCTGCTATCCCAGTGCTTTTCATGAAAATGTTATTCAATGAGAATAATTTGCATTTGTGGTTTTTGTGTTCAAATGGGGAAAATGTGCATGCCTTGGATCATTTTCATGCATATGTTGGTGCATTTATATATGTACATAGAGAAAGTATATTCCTTGGATAGCCACTGATTTAGTTGGAAAATTAAAATCGATGCTCAAATTAGACAAAAAAATTTAAAAGAACTAATCATAGATATAAACAATTAATCAACATCTCTAAAAAAGATAAGTTTAAAACTCTTTTATATTTGTTTGTTCTGTCTGCTTCAGAATAATTAGGAAAAGTCATTCAGTACTTTTGGTTCTTTCTCATTTTTTAAAATATTCTTCAAGAAATTTGCAAGCTGACGTTATTTTTCTTCTTGAATAATTAGAGAATTACGTATACCACCTATTCAAAATCTTATACAATTATTAAAATTTTACTTAAGTTCATTAATGTTTCACCACAGGCTTGAATTGAAGATAGCTATCTGTGAAAAGCAATCATTTTGAAGACGTTGCACATTGATTTCGCTAGAGGTACAAGCCAACTTATATTCTTGTGTTCTTTTTTATTAGAAATTAGATTAAGTTACATATGTGATATTAACTTTGTTCATTTGTTTGAACCTGTAATGTACATTCATTTTCATCTTTTGGTCATTTGGATTCTTAATTTCTTTTTTAAACTGGAGTGTCATTGCAGTGGATATATTATATGACATGCAAATTTTATTCTTAACATTGATTCGTGTAAAAAACTGTTTACTTGGTGACACGTGATAAATGGCTAGTGGTGGAAAACATTTGGGGTTCGGTCTGTTTGCTCATGTCTTGTGCTTTTATCTCAAATAGTGACCTTCTTGTTGACTTCCAAATAGCTTCTTGGTATCCTAATAATTTTTTTGTTGTATGAGTGATGCTCTTTGTTAATATTATTCTTAATTGCTTTCTTTTGCTTATATATGTATATGTATATGTATGTATGTATATATTTTAAGGTTAAATTTGTCATGGTTACAGAATATGGATAAAACTTGGATGCAAAAGAATAGATGAAGCAAAGAATATTGGGATGGTTTGTAAAAATTCTTAGATTATGCATTCCAGAATTCAAGTATAAATGGGATGATATTATGTTGTAAAGAATGTAAGTGTGGTGTATGTATTACTTGGGAGAATGCAGAACTTCATTTGAAAGTTTATGGTTTTGTTAAAGGACATTGGGCAGCTCATGGAGAATTTGTTTACTCTAGTGCACCAAAACCTACTTCCCATGATATCTCACATGGGGTACGGGATGAACTTGATGACATGCATGGTTTGGTTCATGATGCATTGGGAATTCTTGAACAAGATCATACAAGGATAGATGGAACTGAATACAAAAGCCAGTTGCCCAATGTAGAAGCTGAAAAGTTTTACAATCTAATTGATAATTCTAACAAAGAGCTTTACGCTGGATGTAAAAGATTCTCAAAACTTTCCTTTATGATTCGGTTGCTTCACATCAAATGCCTTGGTAAACTCAGCAACAAAATTTTTGATATGTTACTTGATTTGTTGAAATAAGCCTTTCCAGATGTGATGGATGGTTTGCTCATAAGACAAGGAAGAAATCGTATGCTCAAATTCGAAAGAAATTGGTAAATCTTTTTAACCTTTTAGTTTCATTTAGTTTTTTCTTGTATCACCTAGTGGTCTTATGAAGACTTCATTTTTTATAGATGAAAAAATTAGGTCATCTCCCATCACGAGTTGACATGTTCGAACACTGTTATACTGACTCAAACGGAAACCCGGGAAATGATGACGTTACAGCTACATTAGTAAGTTACTAATTAGTTGATGAAATTAGTACTCTAAATGACTTAAATTGTCTACTAACTTAAGACCGATTTTATTTTCATTGATGTAAGATAATCGATTTTAGTAATATTGAACTTTTTCTGGATTTTGAATACAGCCAGCTTTGAAGGAAAAAGTTAGCCAACTTCCCCCTGGTTCTAATGATGATGTTGCTCGTAATGATGCATTTTCCCAAGTATTTGGGGAAGTGTATTCTTCAACATAACCCTTCTAATTCTGATCCAATGGTTATATTAAGTGGTTAAAAAAAAAAAAAGAAGACCCTTGGTTCCAATTGCATTTACAACTAAAATGGCTGAAAAGACTGAAAGTATACATTTTTTTAATGTTCAACAGCTACTTTGAAACAAAATTTAGATTAGGGACCAAAACTTGACAATGGAAGTAATTTAAAGGTGTTCTATACACTTTATCCCTTGTTTGTGGCACTAATGACTAAATTTGACGGGAATCCTTAAACGTGACACTTTTTTATTGAGGGGCTTATTTGCGAAACTACATTATTGAGGGGTCAAAAGAGTGCAAAGAAAATAGTTTAGTGGTCAATCGGATGGTTTCCTAAAAAAAAAAAAAAAGTTATAACAAAGACGACATGTTATATGCCCATTTGATTAAAAATTTACATGATAAATTAGTTTCTTGTCTAACCTATGAACGTTACGAGCTCGAACATGACTTTGAACCGTGTTTTTTTTTTTTTTCAAAGGGACTTTGAACCACGTTCAAAATAGCAAGCACAGTTGGAAATTCAGAATCAATACTTAGACCCTGTATAGCTTTGAGCAACTGCTGGCCTTTGTACTCCCGGAATTTTACGTGCTCTACTAAAGCTGAACTGACCTTCATGATCATGAACAAAGATGAACCCACTTGTCACTATCATGAGCCCAGCAAACAGCCCTACGCCAGCAGCTCCCAAGTCCCTGAATATGGCCCCAGAAGAATCAATTATCAGCTGCCTTTCACATGGAGCAGTCCGAGAGGACTCTGCTGTCCTCTGGTTCGTCTCTACTTCCTGCACTGTATTAGCATGTTTGAAGTTATTAAACTTACTGTTCATTGTCAACATCTGATAAATTGGATTGGCCGCACAAAGAATAGAATTAAAACTTTAAAAACTGGAATACAAATGGAAGCACAAAGTCAAACACCAGTAATATATGGTTTGCTATCTCCGATGACTCATTAACTAACACACTCAGAAGTTTAGAAAATTATCCATTAAGCATCCACAAGAACATGGAGCACCAGCACTTTCTCATCACTGCTCTACCATCTCAAGGCCACATCAATCCTACTCTTCAGCTAGCTAAAAACCTTGCACGAACAGGTGCCCAAGTCACCTTTGCCACCACGGTTTATGGATTTAGCCGCATTAGAAACCTTCCAGCCTCTGGTTGTCTCTCCTTTGCATCCTTCTCCGATGGATATGATGATGAAAAGTCTCAGAAAAACCGCGATTTCACGAGCTTTTCATCTGATACAAAGCGTTTCGGTTATAAAGACCTTACCAAGTTGATCCAAACTACATCCAAGGAGGGTCGTCCAGTTACCTTCTTAATCTACACAGTTATGCTGCCTTGGGTGGCAGAAGTGGCGCGCGAGATGCATATTCCATCGGCTTTCTTAGCTATCCAAAGTGCCACCACATTTGCCATCTATCACAGGTACTTCAATAGCCATGATGGTTTTTATGATGGAGTTCGTGAAGTTGAGTGTTCTTCAATTTCCATCAAATTGCCTGATCTTCCCTTGTTCGAAAAGGAGGATTTGCCCACCTTTCTCTTACCTAATGATCAGTTCTTTGCTTTTACAGTTCCTTTTTTTCATGAACATATAAAGATCTTAGAGCAAGACTCTAAACCTTGTGTACTAGTCAATACTTTTAACGAGTTGGAAGAATCATCAATCAAAGCTGTTGATGATATGAATCTGATCCCAATTGGACCTTTGATTCCTTCAGCTTTTTCTGATCGCAATGATTTGACTGATAAATCTGTCGGTGTCGACTTATTTGACACCCCCTCAAAAGGCTTTCTCCAATGGTTGGACTCAAAGCCAGAAAGGTCAGTGGTTTATGCATCATTCGGAAGCCTTGTGACATTAAAGAAAGAAGAAAAGATGGAGATTTTGCATGGATTAAAGGAAGCTGGAAGGTCTTATTTGCTCGTGTTACGAGCAGATAACGAACAGGAAGAAGAAGTAAAGGCAGTGGTAGAAAATATTTCAAGTGAAGAGGGGATGATAGTGCCATGGTGTTCACAAATGGAGGTACTCTGTCACAGATCAATAGGGTGTTTTCTCACACACTGTGGGTGGAATTCAACACTGGAGAGTATTGTTGCTGGGGTTCCAATTGTGGGATGTCCACATTTATCTGATCAGACAACAAATGCAAAGTTGATCGAGAAAGTTTGGGGTATTGGGGTGAGAGCAAAAGCTAATGAAGAAGGGGTGGTGGAAAGAGCAGAGATCAGGAGGTGCTTGGATACTGTGATGGGAGGTGGTGAAAAAGGGGAAGAAATAAGAAGAAATTCTGCTAAATGGAGATGTATGGCGATTGAGGCTGTGAAGGAAAATGGATCTTCACATAACAATTTCAGAAACTTCTTGCAGAAATTAGAGTAAGGAGACAAGGATATGATGATTTTGAGTCTGAGTTTATGAAGTGATCATCAATTGAACCTTTTGTCATTTGTCATGACTAACATGCCAATTGAATTTATTGCTCATCTTTCTGTTGTATTGGTCGCGTCTTACATGATCAAATTGAATTATGTTTCCAAGAATTATTTAAATCACTTACCAAGACCGATGAAAAAGGAAAAAGATTTAGGGTAAATTACATATAACCCCCATAGTGGTGCATAATGCCAGATAACCCCTTTAAGGTTTCAAAATCGTCATATAACTCTCCTATGATTTTATGTAAAGTAGAAAATAGATGAAATGTACAATTAATTACAGCAGTTGAACAGGAGATGCTCCAAAAGTGTGTGTGATATGATCATAATATCTGCTTAACCCCATTATGGTTTACATAAACATCCATTACACCGCTTTTTAGTTTTTGCATTTATCTACATAATTCCTATGTGATTTTATATAAGGTGATTAAGTCATCATTTGATTTAGCATTTAAATAAGAATATTACTTGTATTTCAACTAACGACGCTATATAGGTTATTTTTCATTAAGTTTCCACTTTATATGAAATTATTGAGGGTTTAAAATGTTAGAGGAATCATGTGATAATAAATGAAATCATAAGGGATTTATTTGTAATTTACCGAAGATTTATGTTGTTCCTAATCCAATCGCTCGAGCACCTTCTTCACATCAGAAAAGTTGAAGTTTTTTATTTAACCAATTAGACAACAGGTGAGTGCAATAACAACTTAGGTAACAGCTGATTAGTAAAATTATAGGACTATTTTAAATTTGTACCCCTAACATTGTGCCTCATACTCTCCTTGCATCTTAAACTTTAATTTTTGAATATTGCACCCTAAGCTCACATATTCTTGCCATTAGAATCCCATTGTTAATATATCATAAGAAAAATTAGCGGAAGTTGCACACAACATGCCGTTTTATCAATTCCACATTTGTAAAAGGACTTATTCCACTTTCCACCATAAACTTTAATTCCTTACGTATTGTACACTAAACTCATAAATATGTCCTATTCAAGTTCAATTGTTAACAATGTAAGTAAAACCAATGAAAAGAAATCTCCATAGTCCATTTCTCAGAGGTCTCAATATTGTTCACTCCTTGTGTTTGTCAGAAAAAAGCGAACTAAAAATGAACACCTAGTGGATCATAAATAGCAAATGCATATTCTTGTTCTTTTTTTGGCTTATTTTTTCTCATAAATTACAAATTAATCCAAGAAGTTGAACGTGATGGCTTATGCAACTTATGCAACTTGACACGCACTGACTAATTCTATCCAAATCATAAGAAAATATGTTTTATTGATGCCACAGAAAATATGTTCGTCAATGAAGTCAGTCGAGTAGGTAAAGAATTAGGCGAACTAGTCTTATTTTTTGTGAAGAGTAGAAAGACAGTATACTTCAGTGATTGGTTGGTTGGTATATAGTATACTTTTTAACGTTTGAAACGTAGTTGGCCCCTTTTATTTTATGTTACACGTTCCAATCATGAATTGTGGAAAATGTGGTTTATGGAGAAAAGCATCAACGCACAGGAACCGGATCAAGTGAACGAAGCTAGTCAAGATGCATACTTCCAAACACAACTCACAAATTGAAGCGTAAAAGTCATTAACACAAGTTTGAATATAAGCTTTGCAATCTCCTCATCAGTCAATAACCAATACGCGCAAAAGATTAGGAAATAATTGAGCATCCACCATGAACATCAAGCACCAGCACTTTCTCATCACTGCTCTACCAGCCCAAGGCCACATCAACCCTACTCTTCAGCTAGCAAAAAACTTGGCAAGAGCCGGTGCACAAGTCACCTTTGCCACCACGGTTTATGGCCTTAGGTGCATTAAAAACCCTCCAGCCTCTATTGGTCTCTCCTTTGCATCCTTTTCGGATGGCTATGACGATGAAGAACCTATGAAAAACCGCAATCCCGGGCCTTATTTATCAGATGTTAAGTGTTACGGTTCTAAAGACCTTACCAAGTTGATCCAATGTTCATCCAATGAAGGCCGACCAGTGACCTTCTTAATCTACACTGTGTTGCTGCCTTGGGTGGCAGAAGTGGCGAGTGAAATGAATATTCATTCGGCGCTTTTGGCTATCCAGTGTGCCACCTCGTTTGCCATATACCACAGGTACTTCAATAGCCATGATGGAATTTATGATGGAGTTCGTGAAGTTGATTGCTCTTCAATTTCCATAAAATTGCCTGACCTTCCCTTGTTGCACAAGGAGGATTTGCCGACCTTTCTCTTACCGAATGATCCATTATTTGCTTCTGTAGTTCCTTTTGTTCATGAAAATATTAAAATCTTAGAGCAAGACTCAGAAGCTTGTGTGCTTGTCAACACTTTTAACGAGTTAGAAGAAGCATCAATCAAAGCTGTTGATGGAATGAATTTGATCCCACTTGGACCTTTGATTCCATCAGCCTTTTGTGATGGCTACGATTCATCTGATAAATCTGTTGGTGGCAACTTATTTGACATCCCGGAAAATGACTGTCTTCAATGGTTGGACTCAAAACCAGAAAGGTCAGTGGTTTATGCATCATTCGGAAGCCTTTTGAGTTTAAAGAAAGAAGAAAAGATGGAGATTTTGCATGGATTAAAGGAAGCTGGAAGGTCTTATTTGCTCGTGTTACTATCAGATAACGAACAGGAAGAAGAAGTAAAGGCAGTGATAGAAAATATTTCAAGTGAAGAGGGGATGATATTGCCATGGTGTTCACAAATGGAGGTACTCTGTCACAGGTCAATAGGGTGTTTTCTCACACACTGTGGGTGGAATTCAACACTGGAGAGTATTGTTGCTTGGGTTCCAATTGCGGGATGTCCACATTTTTCTGATCAGACAACGAATGCAAAGTTGATTGAGGAAGTTTGGGGTATTGGGGTGAGAGCAAAAGCTAATGAAGAAGGGGTGGTGGAAAGAGCAGAGATCAGGAGGTGCTTGGATACTGTGATGGGAGGTGGTGAAAAAGGGGAAGAAATAAGAAGAAATTCTGCTAAATGGAGGTGTATGGCGATTGAGGCTGTGAAGGAAAATGGATCTTCACATAACAATTTCAGAAACTTCTTGCAGAATTTGGAGTGAGACTGATACTAATTTCTTGTAAAAGGGCTGTGTTTGAGTTTCAGTCCATCAAAATCATAGGTTTTTTGTAATCATGTATTGATGATTGAATAAATTACAATACCTATTTAATTGTTGAAAACTCCTTTAAAAAAAAAAAAAAAAAAGCTGCTTGGGACCGCATACAGCTTTAAATGTGGATTTCCTTCTTTCAACAAAAAAACAAAAATTTTTTGTGGATTTCCTGCACTTGACTTTTTGAAAATTGCAATGGCCTCCCTTTGACTCAGTCTTTTCCGTGTTCCGAAGTGCTACGTAAGCACAGACGTTTCTTCGCCATAGTGGCTTAACAATGTAAACGTGCACTAATAGGGGTTGTAAAGATTGAGTTGCAAAATGAATTAACATATTCAATATTTGAATTGAGCTCGATTTGCTAACATGTATTTCGAATTTGGTTCGTCAATGATAAATCAAGCGAAACATGCATGAGAAATATATAATGCTTGTTAATGTACCAAATTTGACAAAAATCTTAGGTCAATAAAATGGCATCAAACTTTAGTTTTATATGAAAAAATTTCAAGCTACAAGAGTCCCTATATAACAAAAATTTGTTTAAATCCGACTCGACAAATAAATAACTCAAGATTAAAGACAATTTCAAACTCGTCAAAGAAGTATTGAAGTGTAAATACTAAATATTTGGCTTAATTAGGATCGTTTTCACCAATTTAAGAAGTAATAAAGTAGAGTGTAAAGTTCAAATGGTCGAAGTAAAATTACATAATCAGCGGCATTGTAGGATAAAATTGAAATGGTAAAAAAAAAAACGTCGGACTAAGAGAGCATCAGGGCAATTTTCAACAAATAAATATTCATGAGTGCAAAATAAAACAAGGATAAACAAACAGAAATTGCCCTATTAAATATATTCCCTCCATCTCACTTTGATGGTTTTGATTTTTTTCACATAATTTAAGAAAAATTAGTTAATTTTATTAGAAAAATAAAGGAAAAATCGTTCAAAACGTCCCTCACATTTTGCAAAAAGACTTTTTTCGTCCCTCATTTTTAAAAATGTATTTTTACATCCCTTATAAATTCACATTGATCAAATCTGGTCCTTATCTAGGTTTCCGACTAATTTTTTGTTGGAATCCACCACGTGCCTTGCACGTGATCATTTTTAAAGGGTAAAATTGTTACATCAAAATTTACATCATCCAATCCATAGTCTCTCACATTTCATAAAATGAATTTTTTTGTCCTTCACATTTCACAAAATGAATTGTTTTGTCCCTCATATTTTACAAAATAAATTTTTTCATCCCTCATTATTCATGTATACGAATAACTTTTTTTTTAAACTAATGTATATATCTATTTGATCTCACCTGAACAATACGAATAGCATGTAATATATCTCTATTTGATTTCTCCTGAACGTACTGTTCATGTGAAATTAAAATAGATATATACGGGATTTTAAAAAAAATTGTTAGTTTTTCACTCATGTTCATTCCTTTTACTTAAAAATTGAAAACAAAGAAGACATTTAATTCTAAACATTATCAAGTGTTTATATCGAATTAAATTTAGACAGAAAAAAATAAACAAAGGAAAAGTATGACAAAAAGAAGTAAGTAATTGACACTTTCAAATTTTAAAATAATTATAAGGCAAGAAATTCAGCTATTGGTCTTAAAAGTAGCGAATAAAAATTTTAGATTTAAACTGCAATTTGTTAACATGACTATAGAATTCGAATTAACACCTATTAATTAGATCCTCTAATTAAACAACTCAATAAATGAATTATTACTAAAATAGAAAAGGCTACAAATATTGAATAGATTCACAAGGTGAAATCACACACACACACACATATATATATATATATATATTTAAAATAAAATTATTAGATTTAAACCCATGTATGTATCAATCTGTTTAGGTGAAATCAAATAGAGATATATAACATATTATTTGTACTGTTTAAATGAAATCAAATAGATATATACATGAATTA